ATATACAGTGGGTACGGAAAGTATTCAGACCCCCTTAAATTTTTCACTCTTTGTTATATTGCAGCCATATGCTAAAATCATTTAAGTTCATTTTTTTCCTCATTAATGTACACACAGCACCCCATATTGACAGAAAAACACAGAATTTTTGACATTTTTGCAGATTTATTAAAAAAGAAAAACTGAAATATCTGAACTGAAAAATTTAAGGGGGGTCTGAATACTTTCCGTACCCACTGTATGCAAGAACAGGCTTAATGATTAACCAGATGGAACATTGTGGGTGTGGTGTATGAATGTTAACACTTTGTAACAATTCTTTAGTATATTACTTGTGTGGTGTAGAAGAGAATTATCTATGTAGAGATATTGCTTGCAAACCAATGATGGTAAGATGATGTCATGGGGTAGGACTGGATAAGTCTGACTTCTTCCTACTCCATTCAAGCATGTACTAGGTATAAGCACATTGATATTGGATTAGCATTTGTTGGATATGTGTGTAATTATGTGTGTTGACATATCAACTGTCTTTACATGCTTGAAAGAATAAATCAAATCAAATCAAATATCACAATAATTGACCTACAGTGTATTGTATACCAAAACAAGATGTTCCTCCCTCCTGTGATTCTTTTGTCTGGCCAGCCATCTCAGCCACATCCACAAAGCACACTGATGTGCTGAGACTGTGGTCGGGGAACACAGAATGACTGGTAACTTAATTCATTGTCTTTGGTGAAAAGGCATGTGAGAAAAAGTTTTTGCAAAGAATCATTTAGAACTTTTGCATCAGTATTTTTATATTAAGAATGGATCACATGACTACATGTACGTGACAGTTGTTTGCACAGATAATTATCACACAAGTTCAGCTCAGTGTTACAGAGCAGTTTAGCATCTTTCAGCTCAGTTTTAGTTTTACTGCCCACAGTTTTGGTTCACTGACATTACTGGCATCTACCTTGTTTTGAGCTACAGTAGGCAGCTAATGTATTTTCAGTAACAACACCTGATTAAATAAAAAGGTTTGGGTCTCTAATCTTCATGCCTGTCTGAGATGAGACCAGGTCACTGCCAAAGGATTTCTGGGTACTGGAGTTCAAAATCACCCCAGCAATAACTTTTTAGTCCCATGGGTGTCCTCACACCACTTTGACATAGACATAATGACATTATGATCAGTGTTGTGGAGTAACTAGTTACTGTAATTTACAAAATACATGTAACTGCACTCAGCTATAGTTACTGGGAAAATGACCCATGTAATTAAATTACAGTAATCAAAAAGTTGGTGATTACATAGGGGTTACATCTGAATACATTTTTTGGGGTAAAAAGCTAAGAAGAATTTTCATACTATTGCTTTGGATCTTTTCACCTTGCACGATGCCATCTTCTGGCATATTTCCATGCAAAGCTGCCGGTATTAAATTTAAGTGTAGCTCCACTGAGGCTAGCATGGCTAACAAGGAGCTGTCTCTTAGACTGGCTCCATCCATTTGGCCATGTGTTAAATTTTGAATGTTGCTTTTGGTTGGTTCTCTTGTTTGACTTGGCCATGTTGTTGGACAGGAATGCTCTTCAATGCAGGAAATTCAACAATATTTTCCTTCTGAAATCAGAAAAGGGCTTTTGCTTGGTGCCTGTCCAGTAGGTTTTATTTCTATTTTATCTGAATACAAAACTGTCGCCATCTGCCAATGTGCAGATCTGTCTTTTATAGCTTCTGAGTGTCAAGTACAGTTGTGAGGTTTACACTGATCTGGTAGTTGTATTGCCCACTTTAAAACATTTCTAGAAAAGTAATCATGTAATTTAAAGTAATAAGTTACATTATTTTGATGACGTAATTAAAACGTTGCTTATTACTGTATAGTTTAACAGGGTAACTAGTCATCTGCCACCTACATATTACATTTCAAAGGTAACCTTCCCAACACTGATTACGATCAGCACAAGGTGTCTGACTGGTGCTGGTATGGAATGTGTATTTTGTTGTTTCACACTGTACTGAAGTGAGTGGGGGAAATAAAAACAAAAGACGCTTCACTCTCAGTATTATACATACTTGTGTTGTAGCCCATCTAAAAATGATGGGTCTGGTGAAGCAGTAGAAGAGTCTGTCCAGAAGCCGGAAAGAGCTCGATTCAGACCTCACCAGGGGAGAGTTTATGTCCAGACAGTAGCTCATGGCATCATGGCTTCCTAGATAACCAGGTGTGAATTGACACATTAAAACCCTATAAGGTCTTCTCATACTGACTCTGGACTGGGCAAAAGTAGTTCCTGGTACTACACACCTCATTGTTGGAATAAAAGGCAAAATCAGGCAAACTGATCATTTTAACTCGTGTGTCTGTGTGTGAACATGGCTGCTTTATAATGTGTTCTCTGGTCTCTTGTAAAAACCACCTTGTTGTTTTGGTGCCTGAATATTAAAGCTTAAATCATTGTAGTTAAATATATCTGTGCTGGCAACTCACACTACAAGTTACTGCATAAGAGAAAGTGTGTACCGTACCAGGTATGGCCAGGTGTGTCAGAGGAATGTCCCACAGCTGCTCGGGTAAAGCTGCCATCCAGTCCTGGCAGCTGTGACCCATGTCGCAAACCTGCAGGGCTGCTCATCATATGATCGATCCCAGTTTCCTCCTTTAACCTAACTCCTGTAAAGGAGGTGGAGGATCTGAGCTTCCTGCTTCTGTGGTGTTGACTGACACATAGCTATGTTTTCACCCCAAACTGACACGAGAGTAGTAGTTAAATGAGAATTCCACTATTGTGACACACTTTGGTAAATTTAAGCTGCCTGCATTTCTATGTAATATGTGACTTTAAATATACTGTTAACATCTTTATCACGATCTTTAACAAACATTTCCGGTCTCGTTGCGATGACATAACAACAAGGGAGGCGGGGAAAATATAAAACGAAGTTGACCCATATTTTTAAAAATGAAATGCTTATGCTTGTAAGGCCATGAAACTGTTTTCAGTTTCAAATTAATTCTTTAGTGGATTGTAATGTAAATTGGCTATGTAAATTATGTATGCTCTCGACAAACTATATGGTAATCAAAGACATCTTGGCTATGTGATTTTTATATAGTTTAGAAAATCATTGAGAACGTGCCATCACATGTATAAGCTCTGTTTCATTTACAAAGCTTCTTCCGGCTCTTTCAAACCAGGAACTCACAAAGACGAAGTAGACCACTTTAGATTTTATAAAAAATAACCGTACTGGTTTATTCAGAGGATCACAGGTAAAATTAACATTACACGTCCAGATCTCTCCCACCACCAACCTGGCGCGCAGGCAGCTTGGTGGTGTGTATCTAAGAACAATTTGACATGACATTTCACATTAAGACAAATATTAAGATTAGCATTACAGCTAATAATAACAACCATCCCTGCCTGCAGCCTTTGTCTGATTTAATTAGCCTTGGCCTAGATACAGTCTGCAAGCACATGAAAATAACTGAGCATTTAACAGCCTGAGCTAGACATCCTGTCTCCACTAAACATTTCTAGACAACAAATCTCTGAATATCTGTTTAACTAAGAAATAACCTAACACATGCTTCACTGAATGCATGAGAAATTATCACTAATATTAAGTAATAATGGTTTTTCTTCCCATGGAGTTTTCTGGTTTCAGGAGTTTATTTGTCATAAATCATTTTGGGGAATATCAGTTTGCCGTTTTTCCGTTTTTTTTTAGCGTAGTTCAACCAAAGAGTACCTGGGTGCAGACAACAAGATGGCGGACCGATGATCTCGGCCCGACTTTCATTTGGACTGGTGACCTCATCTGTTACTGTCCACCGGCTCAAGCAGAGCTCTGCTGGTCAGCTCTGAATTTAACAACAGAAATATTTCATTAAGGTATTAATTTAGAAAGTAGATTTTCTAATGGAAATGTCGTTTATATTAGAATTTTTACTTGTACAGTTATGTACAATTATTGAATTATTTATTGTAATTAGACTGAAAATTATTTCAGCAGCACAGAATCTACATTTCCATACATTTGACATACATAAATCAACTACATCTACCAGGAGGAATTCTCCTTAACTGTACATCCCTTTTTTGAGATTTTTACAATAAAGTCATCTGACTAAAAGAGTTTTACATGAATTATTTCTTTGTTTTTCAATGTGCTGCTAATATACAAAGCAGGTAGTCACAGATCTTTTGTCAGTGCACAGGCTTCAATGGTGTAGCTTTAGTAAACCCTTGTCATTATTTAGGGATCACAAGCTTTTGGAAGATAATGCAAAAGCATTGAAAAAGAGAGCATACCACAAGAGAACACAAAAGCCTGGACTCCACAGTGTGACACTCCCTGTATGGCCACAAACAACCAAGGTGCAATCACTTCTTTTGTTTAAATTAAAACAAATGGCTTGGTGAGTCAAGAGCAAGATAGTCCAGTACAGGCACTGCATCTAAAAAAAGAAAGTGATTATTCTTTCTGAATAGTGCATGAATAAAGAGATTATTTGCTTAAAAATGCCACGTTTATTGGAAAAGCTTGTCTCAACAGGCACAGAGGTGCAGGATCATTTTAAATCAAGGCCTAACCTGTTGGCTAACATCAACTATAAGTTGAACAGTCAAGGTTGGGTTCATGCAAATAACTTTTCCATGCATTCTGCATACGTTTTCTGTCTTCTCTACATTCTCTATGGATAAATACATTTAGGTTATACAGTTTACCTACTTCTTAAACCCTCTGCCCACATGTCACACTTATAAAAGTTTGTGTCCTACATTACAGTGCTATGTGTTCTTTGAATACATTGTTTGTGCTATTCATCTAAAATACCTATGTTAAGGTGAGATTATTTGTATCATTATTGCTTTGGTCATAACATAAAACTGTCCACCTTGCCGACTCCTGAAAACTGATATAGTACACTGCATAAATAGTGGAGCGCTTGTAAACAAACAAGAGCAGGACAAAATACCAAAAAGTCAGTTTCCAAGCAGCTTTAAGACTGAAATATTCATTTCACTGCCTCAAATAAGTGCTAATTCAAGTATCTGAGTATTTTTTTCTGTTCCTCTTAACAAAACAAGCTCATGCTGTCATTTACAGTACATCTTTTGTAAAATAATACCATACTGGTGAAAAGTCATGAGGATCACTTCAGTAGTTTCTCATTCAGTGTAATGATAGTTTGGACAAACTGGCTCTCTGTGATAAAGTCTCCAGCGATGATGTTGAGAGATTCGACTTTAGAGCCAGGCGTCTGCTCCTTAACCCAGCTGAGCAGCATGGGATATGTGGACATCACCAAGTCTTTCAGGGACTCTGTCGGGTGTGTGCAGATGTACTTCAGATCCTCTGTCAGATTAATTCCTGTGACAAAGAAACCTCCTGAAACCAAAAATACATACAAGGGCTAATGAATACCGTAGGCCAGGTATAGCTTTAACTAACAAGTAACAAATCTTCAATTAGAACCAACAGCAGATTACCTGGTCTGCCATGCTGCTTCCTGTGTTCAAACTCCTCAATAAGAGCCTCAGCTTTGCATTTATTGGCCCACCAATAAGGAATATGCGGCCACAGGTCGCTGTGACAGCTGACAATGTTGTGCTCATAGGACACTATCACTTGGTAGCCTATAGCCCACAGGTTTCTGAGAGTTAACACTTCCTGAAATCAACAGAATAACAGGCTTAGTTTGATTAGTTTTTGTGTGTCATTTAAAGGGCATGGCCAGGATTAGTCTATGTTTTTCTTATTGTCAACAAATTCCATGAAAAGACCAAAACCAACAATGTGTTAGTTCATATTTCGATACTTTCAATAATTTCAGTGCCCAGGGTCTTGTGTTTTACCATAGTGCAACAGTTAGAGACTATTTTCAGCTGCATTTTAGTTTAATGCATGTGTCTAGTGAGTATGTAAAGCAGCAGGTCAGGATATGCATAAACTACAATGTTTATATATTGCAGAGGAACGTCCAGTGCGAATGTGAATCAGTGTGAATCACTGATGTAAGAGATTTTGGACAAAAATGGAGGTCTCAATGATCTTAGACAGCATCTATGCCTTTCACCTGAGAAAGAGGGTAATTGACATCAGCAAAGACACTGTGCACAGTGAGACACAGATACAGGTGCATAGTGCACCCTGGGCAGTGTATGTTTGAACCAATCTCATCAGGCATGAACTACAGGATGCTGCGTTCATGCACCATCAAACTGAGAAACTCTTTCAGCTTTGGCTGCACAGACAATCTTTCATAGGATGTGTTACAAAAAAAAAATCCAGCCTTATTCTTTAAGTTCTAATACAAAACTTTAGGATGAGTTGTACCGTTTTGGGACAGAGTTTGGAGGTGAACACATTGCGTATGGTTGTGAGCAGCAGCATGTGAAGCTCCTGGCTCAAGCCGAGGAAGTGGCTGAAGGACAGAATGACCACCTCTCTGGGGTGAGCATCCAGCCACTCTCCTATCTCCATTAGAACAGTCTGCCAGAAAAACACAAGGTACCATTTAGTCTGCTTCTACAGCAGGAAGCCATCCTTTAATATGCATCTGAAAGCCTGCTTTTAAAGGTTTAATAGCACACATGGAACATTGCCAGGGTCAAGGAGATCTGATTTGTCAAACAAGGACGTTTAAGATAATTATTCTGCAGCTCAGCTGGCGTTTGGGCATGTTAAATACAGCAGAATATCACAAAAATGCTGATTTAGTCCCTAATTTCAATTGTATTGTCATAGATAAAGGTCTGTTCGGTGGCTCCACAGCCCTGCTGCATGTCAGAATGCAAGTCTTTTACATGTGTTACCAAGGAAGGATGCTGCTTTTGTTTCTAACACAACTCTGATATTACCCTAAAACACTGCCTGGCTCCTGTTCCCATATAACAGTGCCAGATAATTTATGAGGAGCATGTGAAGAAAGTTCTAAAAAAGTGTTATGCTGCCACTGCAGTAACCTCTAAAACCATATGCCAATTTAAGAGAGATTGGGACACAGAGCTGATGAAACATTTACAGCCAATCAAACCGAAGTGTTACAAAGCAGTTCTTCAGTGCAGTGCTAAAGTCATCTTTCTGGTTTTAAAGAGACATACTGTGTATTTGTGTCTGTGTGCCACTACTGTACCTCCACAGTGAGTGTGGTGTAAACACCATGGTAGAAGTAGAGATCTGTGGAACTGTCATTGGGCCTGTGTGCAATTCTCAGGTCACAATATCTGACCCCACAGTCCAGCTGCTGCTTTATACTGTACTCCTGCAAGACACAAGATGCAGAATTCACTGTTGCTACAAACGTTTTATTTTAACACTGAGTTGCTACACTGGCTGCTACAGTATGTCTTTATTACCTGTGTTACTGCCCACTTGTACACAAAGGGGCGAATAAGGGGCTTCATGTATCTGTCCAGCTTTTGAAGCATGTCTGGCTGAGTGGGGTCAACAGGGGATCTGTCATTTGTATCCAGACAGTAGGTTATTGCATTGTGACTGCCTAAATGGGGCACAGATAATAAACACAATCATCATTAGACTGACTCTTCCATGTAACAGCTATGATGGCCCTGATAGCTCAAAAACACCTTTGCTTACACAGATCAGCCATAACATTATGACCACCCGCTTAATACTGTTTACATAGGAGTCAGTGTGGCAGTTGTTTGGCACTCGTGTCACTCTGCAGCTCACTGTGCATCTTCTGTGAATCCATTTGCTTCCACAGTTCTACTGTCAAGAAGAGCACAGATGTGTCTACAATTCAGTGAAAAACTTATGTAAAAGGAGTGAAAACTGTGGTCGTGAGGACGAGTTAGAGAATTTCTTAGACAAATCCAACAGCCTCCCCATCCTGATATCACCACTACAGCCCCTGACTCTTTCTCTTCATAGAGACCAATGGACAGTGTTTCTCATTTTCAACCATTAATCTTTTGAAAAGTACAAATGGAAGTTAAAAGTTTAATCTACAGTAGATCAACCTCATCATCAGTGAGCCGTTGGCGTCCATGACCCTGTCTCCAGTTCACCACCTGTCCTTCCTTAGACACTGTTGGTAGGTACTAACCACTGCAGACCAACAACACCCACCAAGACCTGCAGGGTGGGAGATGGTCTGACCCAGTCATCTCACCATCACAGTTTGATCCTTGTCAAAGTCACTCAGATCCTGACCCTTGTCCATTTTTCCTGCTTCCAACGCATATTTTAGATGCAGCACAGTGGACTCTCAAGGAGTCTTACAATTTCCAAATAGTAATCAATGAAACCAGTCACACACCACACATACATCCGCTAATAACATTTCATCAACAACCTGCTTCATCAGCTCTACAGTGTGCCATTGCATGGCAGCCTACCCGGGATGGCCAGGTGATACAGCGGGGTGTCCCACAGAGCACACGGCAGGTGAGACATCCAGCTCTCTAAGGGCAGCTCGCTGAGACTCATTCCGGACATACTGAGCTCCAGTGTCTGCACACAGACAGATCACCTACTGTATTTATGCGCAGAAAACCTATGCAGCCTATGGACATCCCTCACAGTAGTGTGGACGATACAGTCGTGCTACTCTCACACTTGATCAAACTGCCGCTGCAGCTTCCTCCAGTCGCCGAACCAGCCAAATCACCAAAGAGGAGAAATGCTGTGTCTGAAATTACAGGCGTGAACTGGCAGACGTCGTCCATCCCAGAGCTTTAAAAAAATGTCATGGTTGTATATAAAACATGTATGATGTGATCCGGACTTAAAGCGTGGCCGTGTGCCTCCCCTGCAGTTCAGTCCGGTTACCTTGTACACTTGCATAGTTCGGAATGGCGAGGACGGTGGGTCCGGCGCATTTTAATTCCAGTCATCGATTATTCATAACGAACAGTCTCATCCGCTGGGCTCATCAGGTACACAAACACCTGAGCGTGTCCCTCAGCGAGCCGGGTGTCTGTCGGTGCCCGGAGGTGCAGTACCAGGACGTGCGGTGAGGGCGGCACCGCGCCTGCTGACAGATCAGCAGATGCAGAGGCTTTTCTCTTAAAGAGCCCACTGACCTGTCAGAGGCGGCGATGAAGCGCAGAGGGCAGGAGGGTTGTGCTGCTGCTCTGCTGCCTATGGCGGGAAACTCCCAAACATACTGCACCACTAGCAAAACCCCCCAAGTGATGTCACGGCAGGTGTTTCCCAGCAGCTAAATGCTTAAAAAAAAAATAATAATCTGGTGTGACGCCACCGAAGGGGTGTGGCCAGGGATATAGGCAATTTGTATGACTAAAAATATTTCCCATCAGCCTTGGCTGTCAACATTATAGCTGCTAGCTAAACAAGTACAGTATGTTTGCATTACCATTGCGTGTTAGCATGCTGACCTAGCATTTAGCTCCAAGAGCCACTGTGTCAAACTACATCACATTGTTTTACATCATACATCATATTGTTTTTAAAAAGATACATTCACTAGTTGGAGCTGCTAATGTTTAGCCTAAAACTGTGGTTCCCAACCTGGGGATTGGGATCCTACAGGGGGTCAAAGGATAATTCATAGGGGGGCATAATTTAATTAAGCTGTCCTGTGGAGATTTTTTTGTAAACAAAGTTGTTTACATTCATATCTTTGATGCCTGACAAACTCAGTGAATGTACACTCACTGACCACTTTATTAGGTACACTTGTACAATTGCATGCACTTCAATGCAACACTTCCACCTTAACATCTCTTTATGAAGCTCAAAATGTTTCAGTTTTTGGTGAAATTGTCAAATGTATAAATTCAATTATATGTTTATTATGGAGGTCATAGTTAAAGGTGTTGTTACATTATATTCTACATTATATTCAGATGTGTTCCTAATATTCTGATCCTCTCATGTAAGCTGGAGAGGACAAAAATATAGAGACACCTCAGTTCCTCAGAAACAAAGGAAACATCACCTTTTGATTGATCTGCTCTCAATCCAACCCATGACAAGAGATCTCGGTAACACATTGCTTTGATGTGGAGGGTTACAAGCCAAAAAGGTTGTGAACTGCTGACCCAGGTGATAGCATCTGTGTAAGGAAAGAAGGAGTTCTCCTTTCAAGAAAATGCGAGTAAGATTTGTACAGGTAGGCTTGTCCTTTATATCTGCCAGTATTGACTATATTCAGATATTTCCTAATGTGGTGTTCAGATATAAATATCTGTAAAACATACCAGTTTGTCTTAGTGTCATAACATACATTAGCACAATATGTGGCAGCTGCTTTTTATTTTATAAAGTTGTTTCACTGTATGCAAGGTTGACTTTTGTACTAAAATGTCTCCTAAGACTGACACCGACCAGTTGATCTTTTTGTGATGGTCTTGCTCACTTTCCTCAGCACATCAATAAATCCTGCAACAGGAAAACCAGTGTGGGGAAGCGAAGAAAGCAAACTGCTCCAGCCCTGCTGACGTTAGATGTAACCACACCAGAGCTGTCCCTTCTCTGGCTACTGTATCTCTGTTAAATGGCTTTTCCACAGCATGAAGCGAGAGAATTTTTAATGCCTACATTTAATTTATGTTACCACTTACCAATGTAACATGTCTGCTGTGAAAACAGACATTAAATAAAGCCTACACAATCTAAAAACACTCCAGTAGGGGCTCTAATTGATAAATGTGGCAATACTGCCATCTAACTTTCTATCCAAGTAACCAGTGGTGCATGAAAGAGTACAAATGTTACTTTTAAGTAGCCTGCTGTTGGTCAATAATCCTTATTTCCACTTTTCTTCCTTCCTTCCTAATAATTTTCTTCTCATGAACAAAATCTGTTGCATGAAAATATGTTTGCACAAGAACACCACAAAGCCAACTTTCCAAAGAAACATCATACTGTATTTCCTGTTTGAAAATGTTTTTATGTTGGCATTAAAGCACCAACATAAAATTTTAACAAAACTCCATTGAGACAGCACTCATTTATACTGCACTACAGACTTTCTTGAACACTTTAAATATATGCTGCAGGAGGAAAGTGATACATGTTTATGTGCAGTGCTCTACTTTTTTGCTTTCATGGAACATGTAGTGTTGCTTTCAGAGGTTAACCAGCGTTAAGTGATGCCACTTCTGTTTGCTTCCACCAATCTACACCCCACTCCTGCTTGTATGAGTTTCAAGCAAGGAAACTAATTCAGTTTTATCTTCTTTCTTGTTCCTCATTTGAAAAGGTAATTTGGCTTGTGCCTGCTCAGCCTGAGGGACTCTACATCCTGGAAACATTTATCAAAATGAAGCAGCTCTTTGCAACATTCTACTTTAATTTTCAGCGTTCAGCTATCATGAGACACTGAAAACTGGCCGATATTACACCTGAACAGTGAATACAGGGGCTGTGTATCAAAGTACAATAATACAACAGTTTTGGGGGTTTTTTTTTAGCACAACTGAAATAAATGAGGTACCAAAAATGAAAGCTGGCTACAAATGCTTGAGATTTATTCTGTGAACATTTCTCCAAATTTTAACCCTCCTGTTACGTTGCGGACAAATTGACCCTTTGTAAAGTTAAAAATCTAAAAACAGTACTTACAAGTATTTTATTGGTGTGAAACTTCTTCTGTCTGGATTAAGGTGTAATGAACATAACCTCCCCCATGCATGTTTATATTACAAAGATACTGTTCGGGTCAATTTGACACTGAACAGAAGAGGTGTCTCATGTTAATTTATCAACATCACTTCATAAAAAGAAAAAACTTCAAAATGTAAAATAAAATTTAAAAACATCAGTCATGTAAAAATAATGTATTTTATATGTAGGTCTTTCCAATGTACGTTAAAGTTTTAACATGCATTTTTTTTAAATGAAAAATGAGTGCATTATCCTCATTGAACCATAATCTACGAGAGGTAAAGAACACCATTACACTAAATAGTGACTGAAATGGTTAGTAATGGTAAAATTAGCCCAGGAACATCACTGCTGTTCCTGAGAAATGAACATAACAGGTGGGCTAACTATCATTCTGTAACCCCCCCTTTTTTTAAATTGATGTATTTATTTTTCCCACATCTTCTATTTTAAAAAAGTTTTTGTACAGCACTTTCTATTGAGAGAACAAAATGACCCATTTGTGAGGTTTGGCCATTTTTGTTATATAAAGGTTTAATGATAAAAAAATAAGGTCATTCTAGGCAAAGTAATGTAATTCTAAAAGTACTGAATTGGCATTGTATTATGAAAATGTAAAACTATCTAGTTCTAGTAAACATCAGCTTGGTTATCATCACATCAAGGACACAGGAAACAGGAAACAAATAACCGCATAAGGTCTGCAGCTCAATTTCAATATAGAAAAAAAGAGCAGTGATAAAAGCTGCTCACATTCGAGACAAAAATAGAGGTTAATCTGAACGCCAGTCTCAGACATTTAGTCAGGTGCTTTGCTTTATTGCTTTACTCCAGTGTCACGTTCAGCTTTGTCACTGACCAACACATCAGGGATCATTATTAGACAAGAATCTAGTCTCTACATTATGTTGTTTAAATAGGACAACATAACCTGCAAAACTATGGTAGTAAACGTGTGAAACTATATGCCTACACACTCAAGGCATTTGTGTTAACTAAAAGTGATTCCACAATTTGACAAATGTAAAGGTCACAGAGTCTGTGACAAAACTTTAACCGACAGTGCACAAAACAGGTGCAGCTGCAGTACAGCTCAATACAAACTCCACATTCTGGCACGTCAGGTTTAGTTTCTGCACACACTGACATTTAAGTAGCAATCAAGTGGAATGTGATTCAGTTACACATTATTTACATCCCAATCTGAACATCTTACAGTTCTAGGCAAAAGGCAAACTGAACCTCTGTGTAGTGGAACATGGGTGTTTAATACAAAGTTGTGCAGAATACAAAATGTAATACTAGCCACAAATGAAAGGCAAGCGTGATCATCTCTGAAGACCAACAGGTTTATTCCTCTGACACTGGGACGTGCTTCTTCATGAGCCCTTCCGGGTGATGTTCTTGTTCATGTACCTTCTGCTCCATGTATACAGCATCATCACCATGGGTCTTGGTCTGGTGCTTGACAGAGGTGTGTTCAGAGAGGTGGCCTGGCACTTGGGAAGGCACCAGAGGGTGAGGAGAAAACAGTTGTAGTGATCAGAGCAAACAAACACCTGTCACCTTTGCACAGGGTGTCTGGAGCCAAGTGACTGTTTTCCACCACTGACCCTTTTCCTTGGAATATCTGGCTGTGGTACCCTGCCTTGCCGCCGGTGCCTCCCTTTCGCCTCTGGCTCTGAGTCACTGAGCTCCAGGTCAGGACAATATCCGTCGCTGTCCTGGTACGATCGAGTGCTTTTCACTTTGTGTTCAGTCACGGGTTTTGCCCATTGTCTATCCTTGGCTGAGCCCTTCCGGGACAGTTTGTCAGAGGCCCGCATGTCCTCTGTGGTCCGTACCAAATTTATTGTCGCCTCTTTGAAGGACCTGCCAAAGTGCTCCATGACAGATTTACGAAAGCTGCTCTGGACCAAAGCCTCATTTGAAGAATCCTGCTCAATGGGTGTTTGGCAAGAACTATCCTTCTGAGCCACAGATTTCTCCAGGAGACCATTAGTCTTGGGCGCACACACTCGATCTTGGTCCAGTTTGCGATTACTGCTGGATGAGTGGCCATGGAGTGCAGCATGCAGGGCTAGAGGTTTGCCAGTTGGTTTAATAGGCAACACTCGATTGTTCGAGCGGCTCGAGGAAGACAGTTGGCCGTTGGAACGCTCCTCTCTCCGACCAAGCCCATGCAACTGAGGCTTCCCCTGACCCAGCCCTTCGCCAGCATGCTCACTAACATTCCCACTGTTGTCCGGGCAGAGCGGCCCGTTGCCACATTTGGAACTGGGATTTCCATTTCCAACACTTGAGGCTTTGGGCATTTTCAGCTTCAGAGTGATCCTCGGAGGAGGACGAAACAGCAAACTCTCCACAGGAAATGAAGCAGCAAGACCTTAGGGCACAGAAAAACAAATGAACTCAAGACTCCGTTGTGACGCAAGATGATCAAATAAGGAAGACGAACACAACAGGTGACTCACCAGCTGACAGCTCCTGGTTCATGAGCTTCACATGCAAGTTGAACACCTGCTCCTGGGCTTTACTCTGCAACAGCTTCAGCTTCTCCCGCCGACTCACCATGTAACACAAATTCCTCACCTGCACAATGGAAAAAAAACAGTTAATTATAAAGGAGCACTGTAAATCAGTGGCTCAACGTTGAATTACAGGGGGGGTTAAGTAATGTTTTCTGATACTTAACAGAGATTTAACGTCAAAGTAAAAACAGTATCCACTGACAGAAAATGTATCTGCTGCTATTTTGATAATAATTTGATCATTTAAGACAGAATATTTATTAGTTCCAACTTCTCCAATGTGAGGACTTGCAGCTTTGCTTGGTTTTCTATGATAATAGACCAAACATTTTCAGACTGCTGCTCTGACAAACACATCACCTTAGGCTTTAGGAAACCGATCATGGCACTTTCAATCATAACACTAGCTGATCATGAAAACAGTCATTAGCTGCAGCCCTACAAAAGGATTCACCTCACAACTCAATATCAGAGGCACCAACTACAGCCTTCGTCTATGAGGACAGGTCCTTATCAGCTTTGTTTTAGGACACTGCTGTTTGTCCCTTCAACTCGTCTTGACTTGACTCTGATCTACAATTTTTTTTAAGTCGTACCACAAATTCTAGATTGAATATTTAATGTTGTTGTGAAGCCATCACTGTGTGCTCAGCGTTGATTTACTGTATCTTGGCTAGAAAATACATTTCTTTTCTGAAGTGGCAGTTCTTTTTACTCTCTACCTTCATAAATTCTTCAAGGGGCTGCTGCAGAGTGTGTCTGGTGATGAGCATAGATAGATGCAGAGATCTGATTTCATAAAACACCAAAGGAATATAGATTTGTAACGAGAGGTCCAATCGGGAAATTGAGTCTATGGGTCTGAGCCAGACACACAGTCAGAGGTGTGGTCCACCTTTCTGAGATGGACCTATTGATTTAGGATTATTCATAAAAATGTGTTTAAAATGTTAACATATTCAGACAGTGCTCATTAAGTACGACAGCACTCTGGGTTCAATAACCAAAATGTCTATTCCAACACAAACGGTCTGGCTCCTAAAGAAAGCCTGTTATGCCATATAAAATAAAGACAATTCTGTGAAGATGTACTGCGAAATGTACTAGACCTGCTCTGTGTTAAGAAACACCATGCCTCAGCACTAAAGACAACAATACTGCAGTGTACTAAGACAAGCACCCACCCTCTCCAAATCCTGTCGCAAGTGCATGAACATCCGCATGCGTGTGTGGATGCTGTCCTCCTGAGGCTGCAGCATCAGCTGCTCCTCCTCCTCCTTAGGCGGCACCAGAGTTTTGTTAAAGTTACTTTTCCTCTTCAGCTTCCAGTACTGATAGATGAAGTCCACCAGGTGCTCGGACAGTCCGAGGGCCTGAGCCAGCGCCTCCAGCTGGATCAGAGTGTAGAACTCCTCCTCCAGCTCCTGCAGTCTCTGTGCCCGCTGGCCCACCTTCCCTGCCTCGCTGGGTGCCTTTGAGCGAGCTGGGCTCAGGCCAGTCTCCCCAGCTTTAGATTTGCTGTGCTTCAGGCAGTAAGACTTGAACTTGACTTCATCCCCTTCATCCAAGATGGTCTTCATCTCCAGACTATGTTCAAAGGCACATGTCACATGGAAAGGAGTGGTGCAGTTCTTTACAGAGCACTGGGAGCAGAGGGGGAGAAACAGGTTGCTATGCTGGCAGGAGACTATAAGCCAATCACTGGGAATAACAAGATCAGGGTCAGAGAAAGATTTAGGAATGTAGGTATTTCGGAGAAACCCAGTTTCCTCGGTAACTTTACATGGTTTGTTTCATAACTGGTCTGGTGTCTGGAAGGCTGAGTGGTAGCCCTCAGAAAATATCTTAACATAGTGCCACAAAGTTAAAGAAGAACATTTATGGTGGTTATCTGTCTCATTGATGAACTGACAGAGCAACTTTAAGGAACAGTTACGATTATTTACTTTATGGACGAGAGTTAGATGATACCATTTTAAAACTGTGCATGTTAACATTAGTGACTTATAACCACCTGGCAGCAACTGGAGAGGGAATTAGACCAATAACTCTGCTCTAATTTAAAAAAAATCAACAAAAACTTATAGATCGATTCTTTTCCTAACTGCTTTATTAGCCATGTAACATATTTCACACAGGCATGTCATCAGTTTACTACAGCGATCCTAACAACTGAGATCTGTCAGCAACTACCCCTGAGCTAAGCTAACTGGCTCTTGGCTGTAGCTTTATATCTACTGCACTGATACGAGAGTGGCATCAAACTTCTCATCTGACTTTGACACATATTTCCCAAGATGCCAGACTATTCCAGAGGGTGAAAAGACAGCATTTAGTTGGACTTTAACTGGACAAAGATAATGTGATTAACATGTCACTGCAGTCACTGATACCGCATTGTTCTGGTGAGAACACTTACCGGTGAGTGCACAGACTCACACTCACCTGGATACATGCACCTGTCTTCAGCTTACACAGGCTGCAGATGAGAGACCAGCGACTGGGAGGGATGTGGGAGACTTTGGTGATGGGCTCCATCCTCTCAGGACAAGCAATGCTCACCTAAAGAAAAGCACCACATTCAGCATGACGACAGACTTTCAACACCCTTAATGTACAAACCCCAACTCCAATGAAGTTGGGACAGTGTGTAAAACGTAAATAAAAACAGAACATTGACTTGCAAATCCTTTTTGATCCATATTTAATTGAATACACCACAAAGACAAGATATTTAATGTTCAAACTGATAAACTTTATTGTGTTTGCAAATATTCACTCATTTTGAATTTGATGCCTGCAACACCTTCCAAAAGAGCTGGGACAGGGGCAACAAAAGACTGGGAAAGTTAAGGAATGTTCAAAAAAAACACCTGTTTGGAACATTCCACAGGTGACCAAGTTTATTGGAAACAGGTTAGTGTCATGATTGGGTATAAAAGGAGCATCCCAAAAGGCTCATACATTCACAAGCAAGGATGGGGTGTGGTTCACCACTTTGTGAACAACCGTGAGCAAATAGTCCAACAGTTTAACAATGTATTTCATCATCTACAGTCCATAATATCATCAAAAGATTCGGAGAATCCAGAGAAATCTCTGCACATAAGCAACAAGGCCATAAACCTACACTGAATGCTCATGACCTTCGACTCCTCAGGCGGCACTGCATTAAAAACAGACATGATTCTGTAAAGGACATTACCATGGGGGCTCAGGAACACTTCAGAAAGCCATTGTCAGTAAACACAGTTCATCGCAACATCTACAAGTACAAATTAAAACTCTACCATGCAAAGTGAAAGCCATACATCAACAATACCCAGAAACACCACCGACTTCTCTGGGCCTGAGCTTATCTGAGATGGACTGATGCAAAGTGGCAAAGTGTGCTGTGGTCTGACAAGTCCACATTTCAAATTGTTTTTGGAAATCATGGACGTAGTGTCCTATGGGCCAAAGAGGAAAAGGACCATCCAGATTGTTATCAGCACAAAGTTCAAAAGCCAGCATCTGTGATGGTATGGGGGTGTGTTAGTGCCCATGGGTAACTTGCACATCTGTGAAGGCACCATTACTGCTGAAAAGTACATCCAGGTTTTGGAGCAAAATATGCTGCCACCCGAGCGACGTCTTTTTCAGGGATGTTCCTGCTTATTTCAGCAAGACACTGCCAAGCCACATTCTGCACGTGTTACAACAGCGTGGCTTCATAGTAAAAGAGTGCAGGTCCTAGACTGGCCTGCCTGCAGTCCAGACCTGTCTCCCATTGAAAATGTGTGGCGCATTATGAAGCACAAAATACGATGATGCATACCCCAGACTGTTGAGCAACTGAAGTCACATATCAAGCAAGAATGAGAAAGAATTCCACCTACAAAACTTCAACAATTAGTGTCCTCAGTTCTCTAACGCTTAATAAATGTTGTTAAAAGGAAAGGTGATGTAACACAGGGGTAAAAATATGTAACACAGGGGTAAAAATACCCCTGTCCCAGCTCTTTTGGAACGTGTTGCAGGCATCAAATTCAAAATGAGTGAATATTTGCAAAACCAATAAAGTTTATCAGTTTGAACATTAAATATCTTGTCTTTGTGGTGTATTCAATTAAATATGGATCAAAAAGGATTTGCAAGTCAATGTTCTGTTTTTATTTATGTTTTACACAGTGTCCCAACTTCATTGGAGTTGGGGTTTGTAGAACTGGTATAGCAGAGGGTAGAAGTGCTCATCTACCTCTGGTATCCACAGGGCACAGCTTACGTGAGCCCACTGGGTGCCTGCACGCGTAGCTTTCATAGCGCCGCCCTTCTGGGGACACAGAAGGCACTGTGGGTCGATGCCGAGGACACACGTCCGACACAGCCAGTTTCCAACAGGCACTTTAACAATGCCATAGCAGGCCTGTGGGCAGAGCAGTAGGTGTGTAACTAGCACATTCAGCATCAAACACAGCTTTAAAAATTTGAGAAATTGTTAAATGATGAAAATTTGGCTTTCAAATGTCCAATAACCTTTAGGACCAACAGCCGTATTCAAATGTTTATTTTTTGAATATTAGCACAAGAGATACCTCTTATCGCCACTAAAACTACCAGTTAGTGACAATTTATTAGTGACAGCAGAGTTGTCACGAGTAACTGATTTTTAGTGGCCCCATGTATTTTCTGTTAAATAAATCAATTTATCAAGTGACTATAGAGCTCAGACAAGGGCTGTGTGTTGAAAGCTGTACTTGTGTTTACCTGGTGTACACAGATGTTGCATTTGTCGCAGAACACCATATCATTCCCCTCTTCGCTGTCGGGGGAGCGGCACACGTCACAGATAACGTCCTCGTCGTATTCAATCCCCAGACCTTCCACTGTCTCGATGGCGTGCTTCATGTTGTCGTGGCACTGGCTCTCCAGGGCCTCCATGGCTCGCTCCATTGTCAGCTCGTCTATGGGCTCCTCCCCTAGAAGACAGAAGGGGACAAAACCCCACAAGGTCAGAGAAATCCCAGCAGACACCGTTAGGACATCACCAGTCAAAATCTTAGTACTCTTATCCCTAGCTCGGGGAGACCGGTGTTCTATAAACCATCATCAGGATCGTGCAAGGTGGATTATCCCTGTACACTCCTGCTCCTTACCCATGCAGTCCAGCTCTCTGTTGAGAGTTTGCAGCCAGTAGAGGTCCATGTCGTCCAAATCGTAGCGACACATGGCCTCTGCCAGCTCTTTGATGTTCACATAACCTGGTTCTGTTGACTCTTGGCTCGAGCACTGGATGTATTTCCTCTTTTGGGTGTAAAACACTTCCTTGGGCTTCTCGGCAATAATCCTGTCCACAGAAGACACAATCTGTCAGTGCTGCACAGCTCTTACAGATGAATTTGGTTTGTTGTAGTAGCCCAGTTAGGACGAATATCAGCGTTACCTGACTGACGGCTTGGGGATGCTGTCTGGACTTGCCAATACCTGGACACCCTTCTCCCACTCTTGTTTCCAGGTGTCTGCCAGCAAGTAGTAGTCCTCTGGGGAGACATGGTGGGAGTCAGGCAGCTTCATGGCACTGATCAGGTCTTTTCTGAACACCTGCGGACATAAGAGAGAGGCCGAAGATCACAGTCAGTTAGCCACCAGTCTGGAGGTTTAACAGCACTTGACACAGAACCTTGGCAACTTACTTCAGCCGGTTTCTTCGGGTTGGAGGCAGGGGTTCCAGGTTTACTGCCATACTTGCTGGAGGAGCAGAAGGAGGTGGAGGGACCTAAATAAATAAAACATATTAGTAAAAGAGCAGTGGAGAAAATAAAATACACACCGGTTTAGGTTATGGGGTTTCTTAAGATGACTCACTCTCATTGTCAGAACTTTCGCTGCTGCTTGAAGACTTGAGGCGTTTCATCCTGTAACATCCTGCAGCAGAGAAGAAGACATTAAAATATGGATTTTACTATTGTACAATAAATGAACCAGGCACAGAGAAGAGCTACTCACCATAAATATCGCAGTGAAAAGCATGCTAGTAGATTCCTCTGGTCAACCCTTAACCACTTAAGGCAATACCTGCAAATAAGAAGTACAGGTGAGCCCAGTAAGCATATATACAGGTATGAAAGCAATGATATGTTCTGTCTGCACGAGTCATACCACCGAGGATTTACAGTGACCCTGCTAAGTGGGGTCTGGGGTTTAGCCCGAACCTTGCACTGAAATGTCCAGTATATTAACCTACTAACAAAATCTGTGAACAAAAAAAATTAAATTTAATGGACATACAGTGGTGTGAAAAAGTGTTTGCCCCCTTACTGATTTCTTATCTTTTTGCATGTTTGTCACACTGTAATGTTTCAGATCGTCAAACAAATTTATATATTAGTCAAAGATAACACAAGTAAACACATCATGCAGTTTTTAAATGAAGGTTTTTATTATTAAGGGAAAACAAAATCCAAAACTATAGAGCCCTGTGTGAACAAGTGTTTGCCCCCCTGTCAAAACACTGGTTTATCGCACCTGAGTTCAATTTCTCTTGCCACACCTGTTCGCAATCAAGAAATCACTTAAATAGGACCTGCCTGACAAAGTGAAGTAGACCAAAAGATCCTCAAAAGCTAGACATCATGCCGAGATCCAAAGAAATTCAAAAACAAATGAGAAAGAGAATAATGGAGCTCTATCAGTCCGGAAAAGGTTATAAAGCCATTTCTAAAGCTTGGGGACTGCAGGGTTCCATTTATCACAGCAAGTCTTCCAGGGCCTGAAGCAGCAAAACAGCCCCAGACCATCACACTACCACCACCATATTTTACTGTTGGTATGATGTTCTTTTTCTGAAATGCGGTGTTACTTTTACGCCACACATAATGGGACACACACCTTCCAAAAAGTTCAACTTTTGTCTCGTCTGTCCACAGAGTATTATCCCAAAAGTCTTGGGGATCATCAAGATGTTTTCTGGCAAAACTGAGACGAGCCTTTATGTTCTTTTTGCTCAGCAGTGGTTTTCGTCTTGGAACTCTGCCATGCAAACCATTTTTGCCCAGTCTCTTTCTTATGGTGGAGTCATGAACACTCACCTTAACTGAGGCAAGTGAGGCCTGCAGTTCTTTGGATGTTGTTGTGGGGTCTTTTGTGACCTCTTGGATGAGTTGTCGCTGCGCTCTTGGGGTAATTTTGGTCGGCCGGCCACTCCTGGGAAGGTTCTCCACTGTTCCATGTTTTCGCCATTTGTGGATAATGGCTCTCACTGTGGTTCGCTGCAGTCCCAAAGCTTTAGAAATGGCTTTATAACCTTTTTCGGACTGATAGAGCTCCATTATTCTCTTTCTCATTTGTTTTTGAATTTCTTTGGATCTCGGCATGCTGTCTAGCTTTTGAGGATCTTTTGGTCTACTTCACTTTGTCAGGCAGGTCCTATTTAAGTGATTTCTTGATTGCGAACAGGTGTGGCAGTAATCAGGCCTGGGTGTGGCTATAGAAATTGAACTCAGGTGCGATAAACCAGTGTTTTGACAGGGGGGCAAACACTTGTTCACCCAGGGCTATATAGTTTTGGATTTTGTTTTCCCTTAATAATAAAAACCTTCATTTAAAAACTGCATGATGTGTTTACTTGTGTTATCTTTGACTAATATATAAATTTGTTTGACGATCTGAAACATTACAGTGTGACAAACATGCAAAAAGATAAGAAATCAGTAAGGGGGCAAACACTTTTTCACACCACTGTAACCTTTGGTTTTCTGATTTTTTCTAGTGTTCATGTTTTAATTGGTTTGTTTAGAGCTAAAGACGGACACCACTGATCCACAGTATGCGCCTTTATGCTCCTGAACCACAGGAGCAACTCATTAAGGTTTCAAAAAACCGACGGTCTCAAACCCGGCGTAGCTCCAAACACAGTGAACTGCTTCAACAGACAGGACATGCCTCACATTCCCCATGAGGAGGAAAAGGCATGAGGTCAGTTCCACTTCATACCATAGTATAAATAAAACCTGCACAGGTGGTTTGTTACCAGTTAGTGTCCAAACTAATTTTTAGTCACAATGACTCCTCAGTAAATCACTAGAAACACAGACTGAACTTTGTGCCACCACTCGACCATCATTAGTCTCTCCAAGAACTTTCTGGCTGAAAGCTCAATGCTATTAAAAGACAGAAATCACACATCACAAACAGTAAACTGTGTGTTCACCTCTGTAGCAGAGCCTGTTGGAGCTGCTCTCAAAAAGCGTCTGGCATCTTGAGTGATTCCATCTCTGAATATGCAAACTCTGTGCATTCAGCTACTCAGGACTGATAAATAAATGGTCATTTGTGCTATATTCTGACTTTTTAGGAACAATCAGTCAATAATAAAAATAATCATTAATTGCAGCTTTTGAGTAATCATGTGTGTTTTACATCATACTGGTCATACTGGGTGGGATTTGTCACTACCAGCCTATGGTGAAAAGATTTTGATCTGACTGCAGTCATGGATAAACTGAGGGTGGGGTGTTCTGCTGACCACCACCCCCAACAAGTCAGTCTGTGGTTTCAGCCTCCCTAACACTGCTACCAGTGTAAATGGAATGACAGGCTCTTCCACCTACACTGAAGTGCAGTACTGGCAGTCAAGTCTCCAGGTCAAAAGAAACTGTCAGAAACAGGATGACCGCCTCCCATCGTGACACACATACATACATTATAAAGCGGTGGGGGCTGCAGACTGAGTGTGCACGGATATGACGTCATACTCCGAGGTTTCCGCGCTAACAGGAGTCAATGACCACATTTCTCTCTTCAAATAGTGTATTGTCCCACAGGTACTGATACGTGCTAGCTGTGACTAGACCGTGCAAAAGTCGCACTGGGTGAGCCTTCAAAAACACAACCCATACACAACCAGGAGCCTCGTTGGCGGCAAACTCTGACAGGCCTGCAGCGAGCTGCACTGCAGGCTGAGTGGAAATCAACATGGGCGCCACCATCATAAAAGATGTCACTTCCTAGAGCCGTTATGGCGAATATCTGTCTAGTTGGCTAGTTACTGGGAGCACGCTGACTTGACGGTCGTCAACGTTAACGCGCTAAAGAAGCAGAAAGAGTCCTGTAAAAGCAGAAAAGGAGCGGGGCCCATGGCCTGGATAAAGCTCCGAGGGCAAATCCTGGCACACCGACTCCCACATATTGTTCACATTCCTCCCCTCTTACCTCCGTTCCCCGCTCCGCTGCCCGCTTTAATCTTGCCACGTAACGACACACACAAAACGACCAACATACACCTGAGAGTAGAGGCTCTAGTGCCAGCAGTGGACCAAATGCAGCGTTTTATGTCCCAACACAGAGGGAATCTCCAGGCTGCAATCTGTCCCGCACCACGGCACAACACCTCTATTGTACCGCGCGCCCCGCCGGGTCCTAGAGCCGCCGCCTCCTCTACCCTGGGTGCGCTCGGTTTCTGCACGGGCGTTAACCGCTATCCATAGACCATGTAATCAGTGACGGCATCCAATTCAGTTAAACAGCGCTTTTAAAATAAGCAAATCTTAATCATTGGGTTTTCAGATATTTTACAGCTTTTAATGTGACCGATTTTATCAAGACAGGGCGTCATTTAAGTGTAGAAACAATAAATTACATACAAATGTATATTCATAAATACAAAATGCTCTACAAAAACTGTATGCCTCAATACAAAATGCTTACAAAGTACATCACACTAAGTCCATATGGATATTCTTCCTAAAAGCATCTGTACAAAACGAAAATATCAGGCCAAATTTAGCTTTATCTAAATCTGCAATGTGCTGTATGTGTTTTATCATTTATAAATGAATAAATAACTAGAGGCCCCAGTAGACTGAGTGAAGTCAAGCTGTTAACCGCTAACTAGAACATTTAGCAGTAAGCTAAATTATGAAACTGCTGTTTAAACTGATAGAATATCTTTTAAAAAAGGATGTGTTGATCAGGTTAAAAAGGGAAACCAGAATATTCCCTGTAATGTTACTACCAGTTTATCATATAACCCTATGACTACGTGAATACGTTCATGATCGTGACTAGAAGAACTATGCAAAACTCAGAAAGACAGACCTTTTACTATACTGTGATTATAAACTGCTGTTACCTGCACTGGATCAAGTTTGTCAGCCTGCAACTATTATCACACAGGTGTTTAAACAATGAAGTCACACATTAGGAAATTTTTACTAAAAATGATAATGAACAATTTTTTTCTATACAAAAACATTCAGTGGAAAGTATAAAACAAATATTATAAACCATAAAAAAAACTGATCATATGAATTGCCTACCTCAAAAGCCAGCATTTTACAAGTGTTTACACCTTTGCCTGTGTAAACATATCTGTTAATCTGATTGTACACAAAGATACACTCAGTCTTTCACAACTGAACCAAAAAGATCAGCATCCCTGCATTTCTGTCAGATAACACACCACTTCCCACAGGTAAGCGTTGCAATCACAAATTCTTTGGTATTATGTTTATGTCTTTTGTTTGCATTGGAACAACACACAGAAAAAAAACAGAGAAAAGAAGCCAAATCTGATCCATTCCACACAGAACTCCTAAAATGAACTGGACAGAATTACTGACACCCTCAACTTAATATTTGGTAGCACACCCTGTGGACAAATGAACTGAAACCACTCACTTCCTGTAACCATCAGTGAGTTTCTTCCACCTCTCTACTGGAATGTTGGACCACTCTTCTGTTGCCAACTGCTCCAGGTCTCTCAGATTTGAAGGGTTCCTTCTCCCAGCTGCTGATCTCTCCTCAGGTGGTCTATGGGATTTAGATCTGGACACATTGCTGCCCACTTCAGAACTCTCCAGCACATTGTCTGAATCAATTTCTGGTGAAATTTGAAGTCTGCTTTGGGTCATTGTCCTGCTGTAAGACCCATAACCTCTGACAGAGACCTTTCTGACACTGGGCCCTACATTGTGCCCCAGAGTTCAGTGGTAGTCTTTCATAATGCCATACATACAGTCAAACCCCAAAACACCAGTGAACCTTCACCGTGTTCGACTGTAGGGACCGTGTGCTTTTCTCTGAAGGCCTCATTTCATTTTCTGAAAACAGTACAATGATGTGCTCGACCAAAAAGCTCTATTTTAGTCTCATCTGTCCACAGGACATTCTCCCAGAAGGTTTGTGGCTTCCCCAGGTAGGTTTTGGCAAACTCCAATCTGGGTTTTTATGTCTCTGTGTCAGCAGTGGGTCACTCTGGGTCTCCTACCATAGCGTTCCTTGTCATTCAGATGGTGACAGTGTGAGCAGACACTGTTGCACCCTGTGGCTGCAGGTTGGCTTGAATTTGTTTGGAAGTTGATCGAGGTTCTTTATCCACCATTCAAACAATCCTTCATTGGAATTTGTCATCTGTTTTTGTTTTTCATCCACGTCCAGGGTGATTAGCTACAGCACCATGGGCTGTAAACCTCTTGACAATGTTGATCACAGTGGACACAGGAACAGCCAGATCTCTGGAGATGGACTTGGAGCCTTGAGACCGTCCCTGCATTTCCACTGTTGTGGTTCTCAAATCCTCAGACAATTCTTTGCTCTTCTCTCTCTTCTCCAAGCCGAGTGTAGTTCACACTACAGAAAGGTTGAGTCAACTTTTCTCCATTTTAACTGGCTGCAAGTTTGATTTCTATGTTGCCAGAACCTGTTGGCTGCTACAGGTGAGTGTCATTACAAATCAAAGGAGCATCACATGCTTGAAATACAACTATTCCTGATGATTTTGAAAAGGTGTCAAAAATTCTGTCCAGTCCATTTTTTGAGTTGTGTGTGGAGTGGACCATGTGGCTTTTTTTCTGCTTTTTTGTTGTTCCAGCGCAAACAAAAGAAATAAACACGAGAAAACCAAAGAATCTGTGATTTTTTGGGAGAAGTTGTGCGTTATCTGACAGAAATGCAGGGGTGTCAATATTTTTGGCGATGACTGTTTCAGATAGTAATGGAAACAAAGCTTTAAATTAAAAATGAATCACATTTATAGCAGACATACATTCATAGTCTAGAAAAACAACAGAATTAGCAAATACATAGGAATATAAATATTCACAGCACTCTCATCAAATAATGATTGGTAAGCTGTTTACAGCAAATGTTCTTAGATTTCGGTCTGCAGACAAGTCTTTACAAAGACTTTATCAAACACAGTCCTTAATATTTTATATTTCTCCCTAACTGTAAAGACAGAAAGTGGAAAATTATAAAACATTACTTTAAATCAACTGCAGGGGCTGAAGAAAATACTTGGTTTTGATGATTAACCATTCACAGGCCCATCTGCATATCAGCGAAGTTGAAGAAGTTGTCCACATCTTGAGAGGATGTATTTTTGTTATCAGAGACAAAAACCTGTGTGTGGGGGGGGAACATGTTCTAGGCATTGGGAAATGTTTTTCTGAAGAAAGTGAATCTATTTGTACAAAACATCTCTTAGACAGATTCCACAAATATAGTCTGATTACCTTGGTGCTACTGAACACTTCATGGGCAATGTTCTTGCAGGCTTCCACCACTCCGTCACCGTTCAGTTCCAGGGCAATGACAGGACCTTTAGCAGTAAGGAAAGACACAATCCTACAGTACAACAACACTCCACACTCTTACATATCCTGTATATATCCACAGCTACATTTTTACACTAAAGCCCAGTATAGTCATCCTCAGTGCAAACTCCTATTACACTTACACACACTTTGGAAATGAAATAGTAACTGCTTTCTAGTAAAATGGGGGTCATGACATTTTCCATTATTCACTACCAAATGCTTATTCAATTGATTTCTTCAACATGTGCCAAATCAGCACTGGGTAACTAGCAGTCAGCATCTTTGTCAGGTTAAAAAAAAATCATGTGAACAATGAGCACAAGCCATTTTTAGCTTCTGAAAAAGAGCAAAATGCAACAGCAAATGGTAGTCTGAGAAGGAACAGAAAGTTAGTTTTAATTATGGTGGAAGAAGGAACTCCAAACAATGTATTGTTGATGCAACAGCTTAAAAACACAGTCATTATTAATAGCATATCAACTGTTTGAAATTGTTTAATAAGTTGTGTTGTAATATCTACAACGCAACTTATTACTTTCATTCACTGTCGCACATGAACCAGCTGTGGTGATAAGATCTAACATAGCTGTCTATGTTTCTTCAGAGCAACAACATCAAAACAAAAAACATCACCAAAAAAAAAAAGCCTGAAAGTTACCTTTGGTGATCCACTCTGTGAGATCCTCTGCACTGTTCTGAAAAACCCTCTTCATATCTTCAGGTCGCATTGAGACTTCCTTCGTTTGGATCAGCACAAAACCTTTAGCAGTCACCTGTGCAATGAGATATATAAGATATATAAGAAACACCAATGGCAAATTATTTTAGAATAGGTATTACATTTTTTGAAAAAAAAAAATCGAATATTTCATGCAACTATGGTTTTGTCTTTAAAATAAAGAGCCACTGTTTTCCCTTGCTTTTTACCTGTGCCTGGAAATAATGCGATAACGAGGTCACTATATCATTTTAATACAGCGCCAAATACAAACAGCAGAAACATGCACTAACTGGAATGCTCAAGTTGTGACACAGCCAGCTGAGTGTGGTGGCTTAGTATGTCAGTGTAAAAGAAATATTATTTGGAATACCTACAAAATACAGAGGGTATTACAGAAATTTAAAAAACACTGATGTGCATGTCTAAAAAACATCAAACACAACAGGTCAGCATTTCAATCTCAAAGTCACATATATATTCAGAATTGGGTGGTTTGATAAGATGTTATTGTAAACCCACTTTTTTAGATGTCAGTAATGTAATGTAGTTGCAACTCATTTCATTACCATCACCAATCTGCCATTCACATACAAAGACCTTGTCTGTTAACTAGCACTTCATAACTGCTGGTGTGAACTAAGTGAAGCATCCTTAAACTCTCACTCTCACCTCATCAATCAGCTTGCGGGCGTTTGCAGTGGTGTACTCTCCAGCGAAGAAAACAAAGAGACAGGACTCTTCACTGTCCTTACGCCTCCCGCCCGTTGTCAAAGGCACAATGCTGCGTGTGGAGTCAGTGGAGATTCGAACAGACTTGAACTCAGACTCAGGGTCTGGGGCCGGTACAAAATCCAGAACTGCTGAAGCCTCTGGTAACAAGCTCCAGTTGTTCTCTCCAGACACTGGCGTGAAGTCGTGGATGTTGCTCCAGTTGTTGTTGAATATGCTGAGCCCGGCGTCCTTGAAGTGGAAGGCCAGCTCGGGGTAGTAGTACTGAAAACAGCCAAACTTCATACCCGTAGATGACTCGATAATGGGCTGAGTGGCGCAGCACAAGAATACCTCCATCTTTTTACAGTCCCGTGTGCGAAACTGCTGACAGGCCACCACACACTTGATGTCTTTACAGTCCCTGAAAAACACACTGCCCTTGACAGGTCCGAGAACAATACAGCAATTCACACAGTCATCGATGGTGATAGTTGCAGAGTGGTCAAACACGTAGATGTTACAGTTCTCACACTCTTGGATGACGAACTGCTGCCCGTTCAGTTTGCCAGGCAGTCGGCCCACTGTGACATCTTTGAGTCCCGTCAGCATATAGTCTTTGGGATCAACCTACATAGAGACAACAGTGAATAGATGAGCATTCATATAGTAGGCAAAATTATGATATGCACATTTTTGAACCAGTATCTGATGCATGTCCACTTCTATCATCCAATAACAATAGAGACATTCTGGTGACTATGGTACCTAACATAATTTTTTAAACATATCTACAGCCTACCAATGAGAGACATTCTGGTAAGTGACTATGGTACCTAACATAACTTTTTAAACATATCTACAGCCTACCAATAACGCACAGCATTTATCTGTTTGCTTCATTATGACTGCTCAGCGTTTTCATGCATGAATCATATCTGATTTGTTTCTGTTAACTTACACGTATTGTGCGGTCATCTGAAAAACAGTGAACTACGGCGTCCTGTGTGGTAATCCGATAATGAGATAACGCCGCTGAATACATGAAGTGAATCAGGGCGAGGTTCTGAGCCTGAGCTCAAGTGTTGTCTATTTACAATGAGCACTGCACCCCCTGGCTAGTTAGGTAACAATTAACTAATGTGCAAACCTGAATATTTTGGAACTATTTGCCATTATAGGGATGAATCGCAACAAGTAAAAAGTGTCCGTTTACTTTTCCTGATGCAGCACCCAGGAAATAAGTTCAGACACACAAACAGCGACATTAAGTAACGTTGCGGGTTAGCACAACGGGGTCACAAAAAATAAAACTGGGTTTTAATATCGTAGTGTTTCTGACACTAGTACTAGCTAGAATTACATTTTAATCTATAAGTTAGCCTAAAGGTGTGAACGTAGTTAGCTAAGCTAACGTTAAATGTACCTCAGTCTGGGAGGATGTAACGTTACATTAGCTACCTGAAGCGAGAGAACAATAAGATGAGGTGTTTAGCTGTCAGGCAAACTAAAGTTGGCTGATTAATATCCTCATTTGGCACTAGTTATACGTTTATTTTATAATTTTATTTTTATTACAGGTCCCAAGCATTACCTTTTCTCTCTTATCCCAGCTGTATTGCTTTGGAGCCTCATCGGTGTTGTTGCCAAGGGGAACCGCGTTAGTTGTTGATACAGGCGTATGATCGTCTTTTTCGGACGACTTTCTTTTGGATTTCTTCGAAAAGAAGCATCCCATTTTGCTTTTTCAGTGACGACCAGTTTTCCAGCCGTAACGTTTGGGTGGTGAAAACGAGAACTGTAACACAGAACCTTACGCGCACTTAGTCAATAAGCTTTTTTTTTCAGCTTCCCGTTTCTCAGGTTCATATCACAACCAATCAGTTCCATGGTAGTCGTTACATCAGCCAATCAGAGACCTCGGCAGAGTGACGCACACACACACAAGAGGCATTTGGGTACAGGCACAAAAAGTGTTTCTTAAAAAGCCTTTACTGTAAACGTTAATAATTAATAATAATAATGCAATAATTTAAAATTTCAAATTATGTTTCCACGTTTAATTAAATGCCCCCACTTCTTGTGGCATATGTAAGCAACAGATGGTATTAAATGAATTATTCTGTATTTTGCCTGTAGCAGCCACACGACACAAAATACAGTATTCTAAAATTAGACTGATCTCGCCACTTGCATCCGTTGTTAGGGTGGAGGACCAGACAAGTGAGATCGATAAGCTATTCATTTACACAAACTAGACAAGCTGAGTGCGCGGTCATATACACACAGACCACACCTCTCCTAAACGAAACTATTTCACTAGTTATCAACTCATGCAAAATATTAAATAATAATATCATGGACTGAAATAAAATGACGGAAATAGACAAACAATGCAATATAATGCAAATGTGCTGCTATATCAGCATTTCTGCACCGGGTTTATAGTCAGGTTTAAGTTTGAGATAGGCCATCTAGTGACAGATGTACTGCTGAGATATAAAAGAGGCTACTAATGCTGATGATGTTGTAGAGTAGATGATGCCTGGTAGAGGCTCTAAAAGGGGCATCTGATTATTACATTTCATACCGTGTGATGTGTAAGAGTGAGTAAGGAAAATAGAATAGCCCAATGACAGGATTATAAATGAAATCACTGCTGAGGTAGAGATAAGAAGTTAGGAGATAAGTTGTCACCAGACTTGCTTCACCTCTAACAAAATGCAAGGGGGGTAAGGATAGTGTCAGGTAACCATGCACAATACTGCACATGATGAGTTGACGTGAGTGGCCTCATCTATGTTTCCACCCCTCCAGTTTCTGTGTTTTAGTCAGCCATGCAGCTAACATAACCTGCTCTATGTTAGCATAGATTTCAACCACCAGAGTTTTGGGATGGATAGATAAAAAACAGTTAGTATCCAATAACCAACAAAATGCACATGTTGGTATGGCATGTTTTTAAATGTGGCCCAAATTCAAGACTGTATCAGTGAATGCTCATGGTAACATCATAAACAAAAGTCTTCTTCCCGTGGCGTCCATGTTCTCGCTTTCCCCTTGAACCAGATTTTTCACCGGACCGGGCTGCATCACTTTGCCAGAGCCATGTGTGATGATGTTGCCGGCTGTGGTGAATGCAATCCCCCAAATATTAAGGAGTCTCAACAGAGCCTGAGATTGTAACTAGTCTACTGTAGGGGGTGTGACCTCATGGCTAATGACATGGAAGGTCAGGGGAAATGGGGGAGACTGACCATGTGACCACCATGCATTACATACATTATAAGCTAAACTGCATTGTCTTTCCTCACTTGAGGGTAGCAGAACAGGCTGTAAACACAACACACATATTTGGGTGATGTATGTCTGTCTACCTGACAAATAGTCCAGAAATCACTCACCTTTAGTTCGGTTTCTGTCTCTACTGGGCCCTGAGGGAAACATCTCTCTCTTTATCGCCTTTGCTATATTTACCAGCTACTATCTTTATTAGTGTCCTGTTTGGTGCTAGGACATACAATGGGTTTGCCAGAGTCTTTTCACTGAAATCAGTCTGCTAGCCTACAAATGCTGTGGTAATAAAACCAAAACAGTGAGCTGAAAGAAACTGCAGTGCTGATTCCCTTTCACATTAAACAGTCATTTAATGCACTGTTATTACAGCTTTGTGTTTTAAAGTCTTAGGGAGCATAGAAATGTCTTAAAACCATTTCTCTGCTTCACCTTTGGGCCCCCTCCCAGTGTGCCCCCTGGTGGAACCCCACCACCAGCAAGGCAACATTATGCGGACATTTGCCTCTAGCTCTACTGTTCTTGCAAAATGCTAAGATTGAACGCCAAAGCACAGACCACGTGCATTTCCTGTTTTGAGGAGGACAGAGCACAATCCCAGTGGCCTCCTCCGCAAGGCCAGCAGCGTGTCACTCCGGAGCGGCTTCATCGTGCAGTGTACCTTTAAAGGGTTGCACTCTGCGGACTACGCTTTCTCAGCACCTGATTGTTCCCCTACTCGGCTCAGCTGTGTGTTTACCTTCCTGCAGTGACATGGCATAGAGTCGGAGCGCTGTCAGCAGCAGTAGCATCCCGCACTATGGACGCTCTCCGACGGCAGAAGCGGAGCAGAGTCTGCGCCGCGCTGGACGCAGTGATGCCCGTGTGGGTATTACTGAACATGGTGTCAGGACTGACGGCGGAAGACGATGCAATGGAAGAACTTGCCACCGAGAAGGAGGCTGAGAAAAGTCACCGACAGGACAGCGTTAATTTGCTGACATTCATTTTACTGCTGACCGTAACCATTCTCACCATATGGCTCTTCAAACACAGACGGGTCCGGTTCCTTCACGAAACCGGACTGGCAATGATTTACGGTGAGTTCAGGCTGCATGTTTAATGCACATACACACTGGCACTCTCCTCCACATCCACCGCCGCCTTCCCGCAGGCTTTGCATGATTCGTCCTCCCGTGTGGTTATACTGGCTGCACAGAACTGATAAGGAGAACAACCCGAAACATGAATGTGATTTAAGTCTGCAAAATGCATTTCCACCCGCTCGCATTGCTCCTAATTGGTTGGGCCATGCTAATTTCTAGAAGGTGCTTTGAGCTGCCCAGCCTTGTCTACTCTCCACTGCTGCATGTGCAGGCTGACAGACTGGAATCAGCAGCCCTGACATCTCTGAAGGCACAGTACAGTGTCCTGAGTCCACACTGTCTGTGGTTTCTTAGATTACAGCGACCTTAATGAGTTCTGGAGTGTTTTATCTGCCATGAAACAATTAAAAAATGTTATGTTTATTGCTGTAGGCTACATGAAGAGTATCCTTCTGAAATGCTTTATACATTCACTGTTCTTTTAAAATATTTTAAATAGCCTATTTCAAGCTTTCAGAGCACTTGGCAATGAGGAAAAGAGAGCGATAAACAACAGAAAATGAGAGAACACGTCTTGCATGTGTTGTAGTTACTTAACCTTTAAAATGAAGTGGATGGGCAGACTGCCTTCCATGCCTACATCTCACGAAATGGGAGAAATTGGAGTTTGACAGGTTTTTTTTCACATTTCTCAGGCTGGAGGTTTGTCATTTGCTGGGATCTGGATTTATTTCTGTTCCAGTGAGTTAATTTAGCTTATTTTTACAGGGACACACTCACTGCACCAGCATATTCGCAGCATAAAGTAACGCAATAGTCCATGAGTCAAAATGAAAGTACAACTTGTTTGTGAAATCAACAGAAATCAGTCTACTTTCCTAACGGATATATTCAGAGAGGAACTCTTAAGCCAACAAACCAAAGTCTGTGTTTACTATGTGAAGTTGTGATAAAATGGAATGATCAGAAAGAAACGGGTGCCACAGTGTGTGCCATGTTATTTTGAGCGAAGCCATTTCAATGATTATGTCTCAATACAATATAAAAAATGTAGTAGGACCATATCTGTTTTAGTATTTTTCAGAATGATCCCAGTCAGTCGGCGCTATGCGTGTCACTTGTGGCCCAGAGACTTTTTTTTTTTATTGATGCTCAAAAAGCAGACTGTTCTGTTCTCCCAGTTCAGCTGCATTGTGGTTTAATTTTGCACATTCACAAATATGGAGCATGAGCTCCTGCAGAGAATTATGAACTGACAAAAACAGAAGGTCAAAAACAGAAAAACTGAGAATAATATTAGAGTTGAGATTTATTTTGAGGTGTGGGCATCATTTTACCTCAGGTGCCGATGTAGAGCTCATGTACTGTATATTATGTGTTATATGCAGTAGTTATTATCTATATCCTTATCTCTGACAAGTTCATGATCCATGATGTTAGAGATGTTGTTTTTGTGGACTGATATGAAGTTGAAAAACCTACATTTGTTAGACTACACCAGTATGGATTTGCTGCCAAGTGGAAATCTTGTCACTAGAAAAGTATTCTCTTCAGTAAACTTTTTTTGAACTGGTATATTTAGGACAAATAAATCATTAGAAATATGTTAAAGGAAAAAAGGGTGTTTTCCAGGAATGACATCAAATGCTTATCTTCCTTTTCTGGTACTTCCTAGTTCAAAAGCATGAAACCTCTTATCTGCTGGAAAGAACCTAAAGTTTGTGACTACCGTATTTTGCTAGGGATCAACACAACGGGCAGTTTATTCCTTTGAACTACTTTTCAGGGTTGATCTTCGGCCTGTTGTAACTGTTATTACTTGTGTCTTCGTGTGTGTGTGTGTGTGTGTGTGTGTGTGTGTTGTTAAGGCCAAAGCCAGATTGTGATGTACAGACAGGTGACAAATGAAAGGACAAACCAACATAAAGTGTCTCAGTACGGTGCTGGGCCACCATGAGCCACCAGAACAGCTTCAGTGCACATTAACGTTGACTCTCCAAGTCTCTGAACTCTACTGGAGGGATGAACACCATTCTTCCAAAAGATACTCCCTCATATGGTGTTTTGATGATGTCACCCCAAAATCTCCCATAGATGTTCAGCTGGGTTGACATCTGGTGACTGTGAAGGCCACAGCATCTGATTCACATCACTGTCATCCTCATCAAACCAGTCAGTGACTCCTCATGCCCTGTGGATGAGGGCGCTTGCTTATTCAGGTTTTTCCTTTGATTTGTCACCAGTCTGTACGTGGTTAATCCTCTTCTACGAAGAATCACCGAGTGCAGTGCCAGCAGCTTGGTTGGCCGTGCCTCTTGCAGATATCTGCTCTCTAAACAGAAGATTTATGTTCTCTGACTGCCTGCCTCTTTCTGTTCTCCCTACAAGCTTCTGTTTGCTATCACGCCTTTTCTTTCTTTTCTCTGCTGCTCTCTGTGTCACTCCTTGATGCTGAGGGCTTGTAACGCAGAAACATGATAAATTAGAAGCTGACTTGTTTGGCTTGGTGATTCTTAGTTTTGGATAACTGTAGATTCTTTTCTCCACGTCAGCCAATTAATTGAGAAGGATATATTCGTTGGCAGGTTTGCTGGTAGGTGTGATTCTGCGGTACGGCATCCCTGCCACCAGCTATCACAACAAGACGCCCCCAAGCTGCTCGCTGAAGAACGGACCTACCAGCACCCTGCTGCTCAATGTCAGCGGCAAGTTCTTTGAGTACACCCTGAAAGGGGAGCTCAACTCCAGAGAGATTCACAATGTGGAGCAGAATGATATGCTGCGCAAGGTAATGGTCAGAAAGAAACATTCTTCAATTCTGAATTTGACAGTTTTACCTATTTATCTACTTCATGTTTTTTCCAGGTGACGTTTGACCCTGAAGTGTTCTTCAATATATTGCTGCCTCCTATTATTTTCCATGCTGGCTACAGTCTAAAGAAGGTGAGATATTACATGTAAAATCCAACAGTTGTGACTGTTTTCAAGCTGAACTTTTATGATACACAGAAACCATGATGATGAGAGCAATGTGGACACGCTGTATCTGCTGCCACAAACTGGCTGTCTCATTGGACAGATGGTTAGCTAAGAGGCTCTTATTGGCCAGAATGTGAGAGTGTTTAATTTTCACTCAAGTGGCTCTTTGGAGGGGAAGTCCAGAGCAGATGTCTTTCGTTTCCTCTCTGGCTGCCAAAGAAAAACTGTGCACACTGACAATATGAGCAGTTTCTGCTTTTGATCTAAGTTTTTTCGTCTCTGCTTTTGATTGCTATGGAGCAAGAGATTGGTTTTATCTGGAGAGTCCTTGGGGGTCTGCTCTGTGCTTTTTGTGATAGAGCATGCTATTTATGTGTGAAAATTGTTGGTTGTAGATCTCCTGCATAGGTGCTTTAATATCTTGACCTTGAAATAATGGTGAGTGAAATGTGTTTAACTAGTGACACGGTGAAAAGTTTGGACACACTTTCCCACTGAATTGAATGGGAAAGTGTGTCCAAACATTTGACTGGCAGTGTAAGTTCGTAACTCAGCCTTGTCCAGGTATACAGTGATAGATGATATAAAGTAGAAGTCATATGAATGAGGAGAAAATGCCTTGGGCTTTGTTACTAACGCATTCTATAAGAATCTGACCATGGGTTATAGGATAGAAACCAATTCCCTTATTTGTTCGATCCTCACTCCACCATCCTCAACTGCAATGACTTCTGGGCCAAGTGAGGAGCGAGGAACAAGGAGGCTGCTGGAGAAGCCATGAGTGAGGACACATGAGAGCATCCTTTGTGGAAGTTTTTTGCGTACCAACACGCCCCTTTTAAGGGAAAATCAGTTGGGTGATTGGATGCTTCAGATGAAGGCTCAGAGGAGAACGTCTGATGTCGGTATAAAGTGTTTCCTCTCTCTTTGCAGTATTTCCTCGCATCTTACGTGGGAGGGACTAGACATAAAGAGTATAAGGAGTGCAAGTGATGGAAACATGGATGCAACTGAGGGAATTGGGGTTTTTACCCTTACTGAAGTGGTTCAGTTCTACTTTGGTTTCAGCCTTGTAGCGGCGTGGCTCTAGAGATGGTAGTGTTGTTCTGTTGTTTGGTCAATGGTGGGAAGTGGTGCGACATCCTCCATATTTATATAAAGTCAGTGGTCCAAGCCTAAAATATCTCAGCAATTATTGGATGGCTTGCCATGAAAAATGTACAGATATGGTCCCCTGAAAGGGTGAATCCTACTGACTTTGATGGTCCCATAACCTTTCCTCCATGGCCTACAGCAGGTCACTTTTCACTTCTCAACATCTACTTGGATGATACGCAAAAAGGATTGGCACAAAATTTTACAAAGGTATATTGATGTTCACCACAGGATGAATTCATAATTGTATCAATTTACAATGAAACATTGTTTAGTTTACAATGATTTTAATTATTTTATAACCAAATACCTGCAGAACATAAACAAAGCTTTATGATGGTTTATAGTGACTGGACAAGCATGTTTTGACAGGCAGTTTTGTTTCTTTAGAGAAATGGGGCTCCACAGTGGACTCTGCTGAGTCAAACGGTATGCCTTAGAAAACAGGAAGCAGCAGGAAAGCCTGTCAGCCTTACACTATTAGAATGTTTTCTGAAACTCTATTGGTGCAGTAGTTCATTTTACACACAGTTACTACCAACCTCAGAGAGAAACTGAGAAGGATGCAGTGTCAGCATTTCTTTGGACCTTACATGTCAGTTCACTTAATCTTATGTTTTTGATCTTCTTAGTACACAAGATGTGCAAATGTTTGCATAATTACCTATATGTCATCTCACTGAGCTGGCAAGAAAATCTTTACTATGGTTTCCTTTCTTTTCCTTTTTCGTTCAGCCAAAAAGTCTCTCCTGACAATCGCTGAGAAAAAGGCACATTTCCTTCAGAAATCTGATTCAGCATTTTGTTCTCAGTCAGCATGGTTGTAGTAGCCTGGTTTGGAAGTGAACCAGAGAGAGCGTTGTCTTGTGCTGCTTGTTTGCTTTGCAACCAGTCAAACAGCTGAGGTTGTGTTTCTTGGCTTGACAGGAGGACTGGACTGCATGTGTCATTACTGCCCTGGAGCCTTTGTCACAATCTCCAGTGTTAAGGAGTTTGCTTTGTAGAAGGAAGCAAATGTCTGCAAAGCTTGAGGATGTGTACTTTTTGAGAATGGAACACTAATGCCAAAACTTTGTACACTTGCCATTATTCCCTTCCCTTATCTCCCCCTTTTCCAGAGACACTTCTTCAGAAATCTGGGCTCCATCCTAATGTATGCATTTCTTGGCACTGCCATCTCATGTTTTGTTATCGGGTGAGTGTACACTTTCTGTTTATGAAATATCAGTTTTGGGAACTCAGTGGATATCAGTGAGATCAAACCTTTGTGCTGGGAGCTTGACCAGAGCATACGTTACCTTTTGTTCTCCTCTCCACTGGCTGTGGGTCCCCAGGAATCTGATGTATGGTGTGGTCAGACAGATGCAAGTGATGGGACAGCTAGCTGACAAGTTCTACTACACAGATTGCCTTTTCTTTGGTGCCATTATCTCTGCTACAGACCCGGGTATGGTGTTCACTATCAGTCAGTGCAGACAATGGAATGGACATGAAATGATCGGTGTGAATGTTTTTAATTGCTCTTCTCTCTGTATTCTGTGCGCAGTGACGGTGTTGGCCATCTTTAATGAGCTCCATGCAGACGGGGATCTCTACGCACTGCTGTTTGGAGAAAGTGTTATGAATGATGCAGTTGCCATTGTGCTTTCCTCGTAAGTCACATTTCTATCTTATCAAGCCCACATATAGGCCTGTATGATTACCTGTATTACCTGTATGATTTCTGTATGGCTCATTTTCCGCCCTGATACTAAAATTCAACACTGAAGTATGAGAGAGAGCAGCTGCTTTGCATCAGTGCTCCTCCTGACAGACAGACAGCACCCTGCCTCCCTCTACTGGAAGTCCTGCTATTAAATCTATTATGACCGGTCCATTTTGGTACATACTGTTTGTAAACAAACCAACTGAGAAGTCAAGGGTACAGTGATGCAGTTATTTTCCAAAAAAAAGCCTAAATGAGACCTTTTATTTCACTCATAGAAAATATCATTGACAATTAATAAATTTATGACAAATAATAAAAATGACTTCCACCTTGTGTTTTTTGTGTTCCAGGTCTATTGTGGCCTACCAGCCCAGTGGAGCTAACTCACACATGTTTGATGCCTCAGCCTTTTTTAAGTCAGTGGGGGTTTTCATTGGTATTTTCAGCGGCTCCTTTGTAATGGGTGCAGCCACAGGAGTCGTCACTGCTCTCATATCCTTCTCTGATACATGCTTCAAAATAAAATTCTGAATATATATTGTCTAATTTACAGACTAAATTGTCTCTTGAGAATAAAAAGTCCAAACCACAGTTTTTCTTTAACTCGACTCCCACGTCACCAAGTTCACCAAGCTGCACTGCTTCCCACTGCTGGAGACGGCCCTCTTCTTCCTCATGTCCTGGAGCACCTTTTTGCTTGCCGAGGCCTGTGGGTTCACAGGTGAGCTATGTCAAGGCAGGGGAAGTGGTTGCAATCTGAGAAGTAGGCACTAGACATCTGTGGTCAGGAGAGTTAAAAAACAAAACAAAAACAAACCCTTGTTTTAGAACAAAACTGTAGATTCAGTAAGACAAGAGTCATAAAGCTATGATACATCAAACTAGGTGCACCCTAGAAATACATCAAACAACAATACAATAGGTAAAAGAAGATTTGATTTATTTATTCTTTCAAGCATATAAAACAGTTGATATAACAACACACATTTTTACAAACAATCCAATATCAATTTGCTTATACCTAGTACATGCTTGAATGGAGTAGGAAGAAGTCAGACTTATCCAGTCCTACCCCATGACATCATCTTATCATCATTGGTTTGCATGCAATAAATGATTCACTTCTACACACACACACATTATACTAAAAAAAGAATATAACAGTGTTAACATTCCTAAAATTACACAATTGATATACTAAAGAATGGTTTACAAAATATAATCATTGAGCCTGTTCTTGCACAAGATAAACACTAGCCTGTGATTTATACAATGATTCATAATTCCCAAAATGCAAAAATAGGTAGTCAGAGAGTCCGTTAAAACTTGAAAATCATGTCCAAGAATGGTCACTCTTGAGGTTTCTCTGGGGGTCCAGGTCACTGTTTCCTTTCCCTTAAGTGCATATAGCATCACTGGACTGCTGACACCCTCTTAGACAAGCTCCCTCCTCAGGGTCTGGGAGCTGTTTAGGAGGGTAACACGCCACACATCAGGCCAGGTCTCTCCTGACAAGGTCAAGGGCCAACCCCAAGCTGTTTGTCCCTACAATCAACTATTAACATAAACCATGACGAACAGTATTTAAATTTGATTTTTCTTGTGCTGAATATACACCCACACTACACATTTTCACACACAACTTAATTTAATAATCCCTTTGTCTCTTTTGTCAATGTCCTTTGCCCTCTAAATGTTATTTGTGTTGCAATTTAAAAAAAAAAAGTCTCAATTAAAATGTTAAAGTCAGCTAGAGATGCCAGCTTGTCCAAGTTCAGAGCCTTTTGTAACTTACTCCATTTGAGAGGAGCAAAGTATTTAAAGGCCTTTTTCTAAGCTCTGTTCTGTATTTAGGGAAAAAGTGAATGTATTCACTAAACTATGATGAGCAAAATCTTATTCATCTAATAAACTAACCTTTTCGTTTTCACCTGAATAGCTTCTTCTTATTACAGGCCTTCTCGTTCTTCATGACAGAACATTAAAGGGCTACCTTAGTGATTTACTGTTTCATTTTATAAAGTTGGGGGACTCTCTCAAGTGACAGATAAAATAAAAAAAGAATGGTCAAACTAAATAAAGCAGCAGGGTCAAAGATATCCTGACTTGTAATCTCTAGTGTGGGTGGATATCTATAAACACTGAATCCTAATAATTCCCATAATGCAACTTAAATTGCAATTTCCCAGCCTATTAAATGTCCATGTCTTTTATAATGCAGGTTTTCTGTAAAACATTTGAAGTCTTAAGTAGAACAACCATGATATCCTCAGGGTTATCTTTCCAGGGCTTGTGTTATGCTAAATAACTTAATCATGGGCTGTTTAAACTAAATGATGGCAAATCATCCATCTGTTATACAGATAAAATGTGACAGGGACTTAATGTAAATACGGATAAGTCAGCTGATGTGCACGTAGATGAAATTAACAGAATATGAAGCATATGAGCAAAGCAGTAAGAGGGATGAAAAGCTAACATTTTGCTGCTGATGCTTCCAAGTAGATTCATTGCTCCATTGCTTAATTATACAACCTACCCATTGCAATACACTCCATTGGAATCATTGTTTTAAATGTGTACTAAATGTCTGTGTGTGTGTGTGTGTGTGTGTGTGTGTGTGTGTGTGTGTTGTCCTACAGGCGTCGTGGCTGTGCTGTTCTGTGGCATCACACAGGCTCACTACACCTACAACAACCTCTCTGAAGAGTCTGCAAAGCGCACCAAGCAGGTAGCATCTGTCTACATCCTGCACAACGAGCTGCATTTAGTTCCGACTATTTTGAACCCCCTTATAGTATGAAGAAGGTGCTCGGCCCCGGTGTCAGACGGCCCCCATGATCAGCCTGCTGTGACCTTAATCGGGGCCATCTGAGGACATCCCTCCTGACACAGCTCCTTAAATTCACAGGGGGGGTTCAGTCTCAAGGACAGGGTACAGATTAGCACATAGACAGCATGACACATTTTGAATCAGCACTCCCATGGCAGGCTTTTATTATGCAGTTTCAGAGAAAGCTATGCACGCATAGTGCAGTGGCAAAGTTAAAGAACTCCACATAGATTAAAAGAGGAAATGGTGAATATTCTTCTTCTCATTCTTAATGTTTTGAGGTTTTTAAGGCCCCTTCTGTGGATTTTTATTTTCATACTTGCTGTGTCTTCATCCAGCTCTAAATTGAAATCATGATGAAGGTGAATTTTTTTTTTTTCCTTGCAGCTCTTTGAGGTCCTTCACTTTCTGGCTGAGAATTTCATCTTCTCCTACATGGGCTTGGCTCTGTTCACCTTCCAGAATCATATTTTCAGCCCCTTTTTCATATTTGGGGCCTTTGTATCCTTTTAGTGCACACCAAGTATGCTTTTTGTTTCCAGTCAGGACTACCCCTTTGCCAGAATTAGACGTTTCCTCAGCTGCAGAATTGGGCCATAGTTGATGAATTGGAAGTTGCTGTGATGTCCCTGTAGGCAGGTCACAGTCAACCCCAGATGGATTTAGCCCTCAAGTCCAAAGTCAACGTCCCTTGAGGGGAATTATTATCCCCTTTCCCTCAAAAAGGATAATCATATCTAAGAAAGATTTTATTGCTTCACTAAGAAGTGTACTGTTAATTAGGTCAGGGCACCATCAGTCTTACCAAGTTGGGCTAAATGTGAGTCAGATTTCTTGACCTGCCTGTCAGATTGCCATATTCATTGGAAGAGCTTTGAACATTTACCCGCTCTCCTTCCTCCTCAACCTCGGCCGAAGGCACAAGATCAGGGGGAACTTCCAGCATATGATGATGTTTGCAGGTATGAAAAAGCCCCACCAGCTTTTGTTTTTGTCTTACCAAGTCGGGCTGAATATGATCAGATGATTTTTGGATATGACCCTCTGCAGGTTTGCGAGGGGCGATGGCGTTTGCCTTGGCCATCCGGGACACGGCTACCTACGCTCACCAGATGATGTTCACCACCACACTGCTTATTGTCTTCTTCACTGTCTGGGTGTTTGGTGGTGGGACCACGCCCATGCTGTCCTGTCTGCACATCCGGTAACATAACATTTTTGTGCTGTCAAAGAAAATCATCTTCAGTTCAGCATTACCTTTACATTTGTGAACATCTATATGTCATCACTACTAAAATTATTCTTATTATGAAAGAAGGGGTACCCAAAATTCACCACAAACATTCCTGCAGTTTTGCCTCTCCTGAGTTAATTCCTCAAACAATGAAAACTGTGACAACTGATTGATTGAGGAATAACCTAGGTTTTGGACAAGTGTTTTCCTTCCAAGATGACAAAATACAATTCTTTGTTAAAAAAGTGATTATAATTAGTATTTTAGCTATTCTTTTATCTGACACTGATCAAAATGAACATTCAGTGAAAGTATGACGAGATTTCTAAAAGCGAATTAAATTTTCATGTTCCCAAAAAAACAATGCATAAATTTTTCTCCTTTGTTTCTGTATCTGGGACAATGAGGTGAGTTATCCTTTGAGACCATGTACATAGCTTAGTACATCATGATGCATTTTCATCCAAGGCCATGGAGAACAAAAAGAGCCCACATTAAGCATATATTGGCCTACAGAGGTAAAACTAAGTATTATGCCATAGAAATGTATAAGGTCTGGGAAAACAGCTCTCAAAATGTGCAGTGCAACAACAAACCTTCATCAACATTCTGACATAAAATGCTGCCAAATAAAAGCTAGCTTGTTTGAGAGCTACATGTAGCCTTAGCTATCACTTTTAAAAACCTGACATTTTGGTTATACAGTGGATTCCACTTTACATAATGAGCCAGTATCTGACTCCAGTTATCAGGAAAAACTGCTGAACTCCTGCTAAAGCAAATGGTAACTAGCTCAACATTAGTGGAATAGCAGAGACCAGTGTCTCAACTTTTGATAGAATTAATGCTAATTGTTTAGCTACCTATAAAAATCACATATTTAAATGTATAAAAATTTTAATGTATTATTTTGACTTGGATTTAAATGTGAATAGCTGGAGGACAGACGGAAAAACACACAGCAAAACAGATATATTTAGTTTCTCTATAGAGTGTGACTAATTGAAAACAATATTAAATCTTAAACAAATTAAAATGGCCAAGATACTTAGATGAGAGATTCTATTGCAATATTTTGTGGTAAAATAATTCTAAATAGACTTAATAACAACAGCCAGGTTTGCCATCTGACCTAGAAACTTAAAACCCTTTGTTTTCACTGCTTCTGTGGCTGCTCTTTGCCTCTGCAGGATACTTACCAGTTTGCTCTGTGTTTAATGATGCATAACTAAATACTTCAACAGCATGCGACTCCTTTCCAGCTGACATGATTCATTTGATCTTGTCCTCAATACCTGTGGTGGTATTGGCCAGGAGATGGGGCCAGAGCTCTCCCTGCATCTCCACCTCTAAGGACTTTCGCCATAGCTTTTAGGTCACTGGGACAGTGGTTACATCACTGAAGAAAAAAGGATTTTTATTTTCTACTATTGAACACAACGTTGTTCCTGAGCCAGAGGTGACATCAAATTTACAGTTGAGATAGCTGTTGATCACCAGGCCCAACTTGAGATATTATCAGTGGTAGGACTGGTGCTTTAGTGTTTTGCTTATATTGCTATCTGTCTGTGTGTAGCCCAGCCTCACTTATTTTCATCTGAGCATGAGGCATGGGGAGTTTCTGTTTGTCATGATAAAGCAGATTATGGGCTGGCAATGTGTGTGACAGCAGCCCCTCGCAGCCTAATCGAACAGGCTCTGTTTAATATGAGTAATGCCTCTTCGGACCGAACAGAAACTATTGTGCTTGGTGGAGGTTTAGAGTGCTGCCAAAATGTCCAAGTGAACCCATCGCCATAGTGACTGGGACATGTGGTACACAGCAGGCAGATATCAGCAGCGCTCCTCTGTGATCCTGGTATTATTCTGTGTATATGAGCACACATTTACACATTTTAAATTTCTTATGCAGGACACTTTCATGGTGTTGAGGAGCAGCAGGACATCACTGAAAACAAAGTGATTTGATCTCTGTTACTGAATTGTGCTCTGCATACATACATATACAGTTTAATTGAATACTAGCAGATAAAATGGTCTGTTTGTCCTTTATTTTCATTATGACAAAATCCCCTCACTAGGAAGTCAAATTGCAGCAGAAGGTTGATAAGCAGGATGTGATGGACAGCTGGTCCTGGGCTAGCACACTTGAGAGGAGTGTGAGAGGAGATGCTGCTGGTTTCTGTTACTGGGTTTTTAAAAATGGTCTGTGAGCAGGCAGACATGCAGTGCATATATGAATCCCTAAAGTTCAATGCAAAAAATTCTGCTCCTCTTCTAGAATCTACGATTGCTGAGTTTATTTCCATTTTGTATTATATTATGTATTGTATTATATGAGCATTTAGCTTGGATAGTGGGAGAATATCACTGCAAAAACTAGAAAAGGAAAACATTTTTTGAAGACGGTGTAAGTGTGTATGGAGCTGAACATCTGTAGCTGTTGAAATACTGAAAGTTGAAGTTGCAGTCACAATATATTTATCTAAAGGAACTGGAATGATAGTCTAAACAGAAGTGCTAACACCTAACCTTTAATACTTAAGTGGTAGTCTAAACACAATTAGGGAAAAAGTTGGCCTAGCAGTTAAAATGTACATGTTTAAAAAAAGTGAAATACTGAAAGAAGCTGAAGTGACAGTCAAAAAACAAACTGGAATGGTAGTTCTCAAAACGCAAGTTGCAAAAGAAGCTAAAGCTTTACATTAAGTGTAAGAACTGAACTAAATTAAAGTGGTGAATGGAGCTGGAGACCCAGCCTAAGCACTGAAAGGAGTTAAAATCTCAAGTGTGACAAATCAAACTGGATGTGTCGACTGAGTTATAACCACAGTAAAAGAGGAAGAACTGTCAGTTAACCAACAGAAGCAGTGGACCTGTCAGTGATTTGTAAACACTGGAGGCTGCAGAATCATCAGTTGAAGAGTTCTAGTTATTTCAATCAGTATTTTATGTATATGCCTGAGCATCTCCCGAGCCTCTGTGCCAAGTCTAAGGATTAGTGCATGTTCCTAAAACACAAAGATCATATTTGGCCTTGAGCGTTGCCAATTACTGCTTTTAAATCAGTGAGTATTCACTGGCAGCTGAAATGCTTTTATGTGAAAATATAGAACCTTGAAAAAAGTATCAATTCCTCATTTGTATCTAATGCTAATGTCAAAGTTCTCAGGTTTTGTTGCATTGTGATTGTTCCATTTCCTCAAATGACTATCTAATAGAGAAGGTGGCTAATTTTTACACAAACTGAATCATTCTAAAAAGCCTACAGTAATGCTTAGAACTCTAATGTGCTCGATACTGAGTGGGTATGTTTATGATGTAACAGATATGGGGACAGAACAATGTTGCAGGAACAGCGATGTCAACGTGGAAAGTACTGCAGGTGCTATATCTTAACATCTACAAACTCTTAGTAAGTGGTGTTGGGAAAGCATGCAGTTGCTTCAGATGGGAGTCTTTCTTTCTTACTTTTGTTTTTCTGGTGAAGGTGAGCATTGGGCATCTGTAAGGGTCATGAAAAAATCAAGATGAGAGATTCTCTGAAAAAAATTTCATGTTTTCCACAAAGTGGTTCTTCTCACAATAAAAACAGACTGGATTCTTGAGGAGCACATTCACTGGCTGAATCTGGAAACCTCAGAGCTAAGAAATTACTGGGCCACACACCAGCTCCACTCTGGTGGAGGACCTGGTGCTTGAGGAGTTACCGTAGTGTGATCAAGGGCTTTTTTTTCTGGGCTTTCTCTGGATGATGTGAAAACCGTTTCTCTTTCTTTTGCATCTCTGTGAACTGCACTCTGCTTTGCACTGCAGCGTTTAAAAGCAAACTCACTCAATTTGTTCCCCAGAAGCAGCTTGACAAATGTGTGACGTGATCTGAAAAGTACGTGCAAAAGAGGAAGGTAATGAGCAGAAAGAATGTGTGTCATGAGGGTTCCTCCATTTTTACTCTGTCTAGGGTAGCATGTCTGAAATAGAGGTCAGAAACCCTGCAAACAGAATAGCTTGTGAAGAATAATTGATGGATAAAAGGAGAGGAGTGGATGAGAGAGAGAAAATGCTGTTGCTCATTCACTCAGATGGGGTATTTCCCTTAATGACACTCATGGAAACCTTTAAAGATGACTACACACATTAGTAAAATTCTAGTCCATACAGTGTCAGGGTGATATAAAAGACTGCACTTCTCTGCCTTGGCCTCTGTCAACAAGGATTAGACTCGGCTGCTCTAGAGCTTATATGAATTAAATCTGTCTTCATTTTAATCCTTCTCTGCTACTAAGAGCCATCATGTTGAAATTATTTATGAAGACTGCAAATATGTGGTAACTTTGATGGAATAGTCGCAACTGACATCACTCATGTTAGTATGGTAAAAACGCTAATGTCAGCATGTGGTTAGTCTAACATAGCACAGACTGGAAAGAGGAAGTGACTGCTCTCACTTAAGAAACTGCCATTTTTTACACTTGTTTTTGTATCCTACATCCTTTTTTCAGTCAATATGCTGAGCTCAGTTTTCTTATCTAACTCTTAGCAAGGAAGCAAATAAGCAGATATTCCTAAATGGCAGACTATTCCTTTAAATATCAATTATTTAAATATGGTACACACTAAAAATCACTCTGTCATGGGCACATAACCACACATACTATTGCATGATTGATATAAGGGGATTTTTTTTTTATATACATACAGTGTATGTACATAAAAATCTCCCATTTGCCCCCCACTTCGGGATGGTCTTTCCTTCCTTCAAGCTCAGGTCCTCTACCAGAGTCCTGGGAGCTTGAGGGTCCTGCGCAGTATCTTAGCTGTTCTTAGCACTCCACTCTTCTGGACAGAGATCTCAGATGTTGTCCCTGGGATCTGTTGGAGCCAGTTTCCCAGTTTGGGGGTCACAGCCCCCAATGTTCCTATTACCACGGGGACCACTTGTGCCTTCACCTCCCACATCTTTTCTAGTTCGTCTTTCAGCCCTTGGTATTTCTCGAGCTTCTCGTGTTCCTTCTTCCTGATGTTGCTATCACTTGGGATTGCTACATCTATCACTACGGCCTTCTTCCTCTGTTTGTCCACCACTACTATGTCCAGTTGGTTGGCCATTACCAGTTTGTCAGTTTGTATCTGGAAGTCCCACAGGATCTTAGCTTGGTCATTCTCAA